TTTTTCTGGGGCGGGGGGGATAACGTTCCTTAACGCCTTTGCTTTGGCAGGTGGCGCAGTCTAGGGCAGCGGGTTTCCAGCTGCGGGTTGTTACTCAGTGCTGGGGGGTGGAATGTCGGGCACTGGGGCTCGTTGCTGCAGGGGGATCAGGGGAGCGGGGTGGGTGGGGGAGCGAAGGCAGCTCCCTGCCTGTCCTGCACCACATCTGGGGCGGGGGGGATAACGTTCCTTAACGCCTTTGCTTTGGCAGGTGGCGCAGTCTAGGGCAGCGGGTTTCCAGCTGCGGGTTGTTACTCAGTGCTGGGGGGTGGAATGTCGGGCACTGGGGCTCGTTGCTGCAGGGGGATCAGGGGAGCGGGGTGGGTGGGGGAGCGAAGGCAGCTCCCTGCCTGTCCTGCACCACAGACTGCGCTGCGCCCCAGAAGCGGTCGGCAGAAGGCCCAGCTCCTAGGGGGCACACAGGGCTCTGTAAACTGACGCCATCCTGGGCACTCCCATTGGCTGGGAACCTGCTTCTGGCTACTTCTGGGGCGCAGCACAGTCTGTGGTGCCAGGAGAGGCAGGAAACTGCCTTAGCCCCCCAGCCACCAGTGCACTTCTGACTGGGAGCCGCCCGAGGTAAGCCCCTACCCCAGCCCTGACACCCCCAAAGTCGGAGCCCCCTCCTACAGCCCAAAGCTCCTCCTCAGCCCCACCCCGGAGCCCACACTCCAGTCAAATTATGTTGAGTTGCGTCATCAACATTTTTTTTCAACTGGGTCATGAGAAAAAAAAGTTTGAAAACCGCTAGTCAAGAGACAAAAGCAAGTAAGTGGGATGCCTGGTTTCTAATCCTAGTTTTGCCACGGTCACCCTTCCCTCCCCGTTGTATGTCTTAAGCCATTTGCCCTTTGTACCTTAGCTTTCCCATCTGTGAAATGGGGACAACTTGCATCCCTCACGAGGCATGGCGAGGATTAATGACAATAGTCAATTCTTGCCAACACTACAGAGATCTCCAATGTGTTCGTTAAACGCTAGTGTTGTTACTGGCATCAGCAATTATAAACAAGGGTTAAAAATAAGTGTATCCAAAGCATAGACGTGTTATCAACTGTCCGCAATGACTAGCACGTTCTTGTCAATGCTCTAGGAGTGGACACCTGCGAAGCAAACCTGCAGCATGGCTTTAGAAGTGGACTACACGGGCGCAGCCAAAGAATCAACCCTTCTAGCAGGTAATTGGTTTATGAATTTCCAGGGCCATCTGGTAATAGTGAAATCTAGGTCCATTTTTATTTTAAACCAAAGATTTTTACTTAGAAGAAGCTGGCGGTGTTTAGTTCCCCTCCCAAAACAGTTACTAGGTAAGGACAGGGATTGTTTTGCAAAAAGAGGTTTCTCAAGTCGCCTTTCATACATCCTTTCTGCTTCACCCTCTGTGTGTGATGGTGTCTTCATTGCAAAAGGCAGGTGTGCTTTTATACGGAGACCTTTCTCTCAGTGTAAAAACCTCATGGAGGCAAGGCACTGACACTTGAATTAGTCAAAGTCCATCCCAGGTTTGCATGTGCTCAAGAGAGAGGGGGTAGGATTTTGACCTCACTTTAACGTGAATTTTTTTTTATGCAATGTACTTTTTTGGTAATTAAAGGCAGGGCCTGGTCTTGCAAACCTGCTCTCAGACAGGTAGCCCGACGGGCACCAAAGTAAGTAAGTTTAGCCCGACAGGAAGAAGGGTGGCAAACTCGGCTCCGTTTTTACATGGCCAAAGTTCCCCATTGTCCTGAGTGGACGTTCTGCATTTCACAAGCGGCCCCAGGAAGCACCAGCTCAAAGCATGTTTGAAATAACCCAGCCGCTGCTGTCGTTCTACCAGCTCCCAGGGCATAATGCGGGGCTCCAAGAATCTAACCAGCTTGCCTTCGATGGTACTTGTGGGGAGATAAGCTCCTTTGAGGACAGGTGTCACTGGGTGCTGTCACATCACGGGTGCCTTCATTCTTTCCCCAGATGTGGCTTTGGCATGGAAGAGTCTTCGCAAGGCCAAAGGAGCGGTAAGTGAGGTTTGTAGTGCTCTGATGCTTACGGGAAGAGCAGGCCTGCTCATGGGTGGATGGGAAGGGGGGGAAGGGGTAATTGCCTGGGGCCTGATGACTCCCAGAACTCCTGGCTGCCACCTCTGCTATTGTGGCAGTGCTGGTGGCTGGAGACACCGGAGTGCCCCACACTAGGGATGTTAAATTTTGATCAGCCGATAGGGCGCCTCCGCCTTGGAAGCCCAACCGCTGTTGCTGCACTTCAAAGGTGAAAGCGCCACGTGGAGGCCGGGGTGAGCTGGGGACTTCCCCACTGACCCTGGGCTCCATGCGGCACTGCTGCTTTGAAGCACACCTTCCTCTCCCCCCCCAACCCCGCTGCCTCTTTCTGATAGAGGCAGCAAGGGGGGGAGCGACCAGTCAGCTAGCCTGTTGACTAATCGTTCACATCCCTACCCCAAACCGTGCACTCTCGCCAGTTATAAGCACCCTCGGAGGATAGGGGGAGCTCTACCATCTGGGCCCTGCCCCTTCTGCCTCAGGCCACGCCCCTTCCAGGTGGGCGGAGCCACCCCCACATTGCTCTGGAGCTCAGCAATCCTGTCGGGTTCCCTGGGAAAAAGCCTCTGTTTAAACGAAGTTTTGCCTAAGTGGTGGCTGAAATCCCGGCCCCACGGGTGTCAGTAAGGTGGGGCTTTCACCCTGCATCTCCAGCTCTGGTCTCTTTTGCTCTTATGGCAATAATCAGAGGCGATGTATGCGGACGGCGGGGGAGGGGGGGTACACACACACACATGGGTCACGTGCCCCCGCCCCCGGAATTACGGCTTGACTTGTACTGAGCATGCTCAGTAACATCTGCTGACCCACTGCCCTCACTCGGCCCTGACTATTGGCAGAGATGGGTTATCTCTGGCAATAGTGAAGCATGATAGTAAGAGAGTTGGCCCTGATCCTGCGCACACTTATGCACGTGTTTCACGCTAGTGCTCTGACTTCTATGAGGCTACTTGTGGACTACTTACACGTCTAAGTGTTTCCAGGATCAAGGCCCTGCATTGTCACCGCACAGTTGTGTTTACTGGGTGGCTGCTGTAGAATACTCCTGATTTACACATTCCTCAGCAGGATTGGAATTGGGTTTCACTTTATACCCCAATGCACAGACTCACTTTCCTTAACCCGCCCATTAGATAATTGTAACATTAATTTTAATAAATGCTTTTAAATCTATTAAGCATGCCAGTGTTGATAATGGAGAGAGGTGTTTTTGTCTCTTATCTTTCCAGTCTACTGCTTTCCTTCCAACGGTAGAAAATACCAAACATAACATGCCTAGACATGCTTGTGTTTACATGCAGAGTAGCTGGGGAGGAGAATTAATCAGAGAAGTAACATATGGCAGCAAAAGGCAACCAGAGAAATGCAGCACATCTATGTCCCTTTTGTAAAGGAAATTTGCCTTTTTTACAGTTACAGCGAATTGAAAACAAATTTGACCATGAAGACTGGAATTATGCCAAAGCACAGAGAGCCAGGAAAAAACTACTATGCGAAAGGAGTCTGGGTGAGTTCTGATTTACTGGAGAAACAATGCTGGGATTGATTGGCTGATTGTCTGGAGCAGGGAGGAGGAAACAAAGGGGAAGGCTACACAGCTCTTAATGAAAAAGAGCTAAACTGGAAGAGGGCTGGTTTTCACTGCAGAAAGGTGTGATGTTTACCCCAAAGTGGCTAAGGAGGTGACATCCAGTGGATATCAGGTGCAGGAATTCTGTGCAGGTAACTCAGGCAGTACAGTGTTAATTTCAAATAACTACGCCAAGGTAACAATTACCTGTGACTCATCTCCATTAGGATTTTACAGCAGGACAGTGGTTTCCGTGTCAATACACATTGTTATGGCAGCAAAGTCTCTAAAATCGTTCTCTAAAAGCCGAAAGAAGCTAAGGAAAGACGCAGGGAGTTTCACCAGATCACGGCTAAGATCAAAGTGACAAGAACTCAGCTTGTTGGTTTTACTTTCACGTCGGCCAGGAACTTGTTTTTCAGAACTGAGTTCATTTGTAGCCAGGCATTAAAGCTGGTGACTCTTGTAGTTATGGATGCTAAGTCTGCCCGAAGCGCTTGGGCACTAGGGTTGCCAGATGGTTTAACAAAAAATACTGAACACTCCATCCCTCCTCCCCCACCAAAAAAAAAACACTGAGGAAAAATTCTGTTGAGCAAAAAAAAAAAAAAGAATAACAGACACTCCAGGCGAAAACCGGACACCTGGCAACCCTGCCGGGCACTGCAGCATTCTCAAAGTGACAGCTTAATTCTGAGGCTCTTGGCTTGCTAATGGGAAAACATAACGAGGCATAGGGGACTGAGACAGCTTCCAAGGAAAGGGTTAGTGGGGACAGGATAGGAGGGTGAACCGGGGGCATGAAGGAGAGGTTCTGAGACCAGAATTTGCCAAAACACCACAGAACAAACTGACTCATGTGCAAACCCAGAAACAACCCTGCCCAGAAGCTCAAAGGCTGGGCCAAGTCAGGACTGGCCCTCTCCAGGGATTTGTTACTGTGCGCTATTCCTCATAGATGAAACTGTACCGGTGTGTTTAAAGGGCCAGATTTGGTCTTGACAGCGCTCCCACTAAAATCTATTGTGCGGTCTTCAGTCAAACTTCATATTACTCGAAGAAAACTCTCAGACTCTCATTGTTTTGATTGTGTTGTGCTTTAGAAACCGACAGCGGCCACAAGGAAACTGTTTCAAATGAAATCAAGACTGAGGAGAGCTGTCTATCCTGCAGGTAAGTTACACCCATATCTTATTCTCCAGCTGGGGATAGCTGATCTTCTTCTTGTTGTGCTCCTTCTTACTACATATTTTAGAAATGTGTCTGTCTGTCCATCCATCTGGCTGTGAGTCTGTTCAAAAACTCCTCCTAAACCGTAAGAGCTAGGACCACCAAATTTGGTAGGCGGCTTCCTCTTCTCATAACTTAAAGCAAGGTCAGAGTTTGGTTGTGCCAGGACATTGGGATGTGCCTGGAATTCGATTGTTTCTCATAAAATGGAAAGGGAGGAGTCTAGTATGAGGCAAAGTTATTCCGCAAAATGACCACAGGGGGCAGCAAGGAGACAGAGATGTGGACCAGGATGGCTATTACCCAATTGGGCCAGCAGGGGATGGAGTGGAGAAAGGGACAGCTATTTATTATATATTTCAGAGAGTTTGTCTGTTTGTGTGTCTGTTTGTCTGTCTGTCTCCCAGCCGGGGGACATGCACTTTCCCCAGCTGTGCCTATTGCTCTGAAGCAGCCATGGAGAGGTGCTTGTCACCTGGCCCCAAAGTGCTGTAGTGAGAGAGGGGCGAGGTGGTCCTCTCTGCCCAGGGCAGCCGGCACTCTGAACTCTCATCCACAACCCCACCCCAGACTAATGATTTAAATGAAGAAAAACAAAACATATTTCAGTGAAGGACCCAAGTAGTGCCGGGGAAACCTAGTGAACACGTATTTTGAAAGTGCTTTCAGGTCCTTGGATGCTGACACCTATACAGAGCAAAAATCTCGGACGTGCAAAACTTTTTTTTTTTTTTTAAGAACTAAAGCTACTAAATCGTTTCACCGTAGGAAATCTCACCTGCAAGGCCAGTGAGATTTACTAGTTGAGATGTTGAGCCAGCTTGCAGATTTACTAGTTTATCTTCCTGATGAGCCTCCCTGCATAACTTAACCATGGCTTTTAATAACTCAGCCAGACTCAGTTTCTTTTTTTGGTAGATTCTCCTATGGCTCCTGGTTTTCTTTAATTGGCAAATATTGAATTCAGCGATAGATATGCACTTCTCCAGGAAGAAGCCATAATGGTTCAGTGTGTCAGAGACCCAACACTGCTCATAGGTAATGGGGAATTTCCCCCTTTCCTCAAATAGGAGGGATTTGTGCACCTGATTAGGAGGACGGGGTATTCTCTCCGCTGAGTGCTACTAAGAGGTTAAAGCAGTGGCTTCTGGGATGCTGTTGCAGTCTGTGCCACAGACTTGTTGTGTGGCCTTGGGCAAGTTCCTCTTACACCATGCCTCAGTTTCCCTTTCTGTTTTACGGATGAATGCGGGTTGTCGGGAGGCTCTGAGCTCCTCCACCGGACAGGGTGAGAGAAACTCCAATGAGCGCTGAAATAAGAACTGTAATAGGCCGTTTGATCATTCCTTTCCCAATAGTTCAAGGTGCTCAGGGTCCTTTTCTTCTTTCTGAGCAGGGGAAATGGAGCAAACGTTTCCCCCTTGTGGCCAAAGGGCCATTCCTTTCAGAGTCGTGCTGTGAGAAATGACTCACCCAGAATGGTGCTTCTGCCCTGCAGCAGGGCGCCAGCCTCTGCCACATGCAGCCCCAGCCGAAGGGAAGCCCGGGATGGCAGAGCTGCAGCTGGCACTCAGCCTGCTCCGGGGACTCTCCGCGTCCTGCGAAACGGGGGCAGTTTTAGTGACACAGGCGAGAAGAGCCCCACCGAACCGAGGGGGGAAGCCCCCCGCTCCTCACAGCATCTGCCCTCTTCCCCGGAGCAAGTCGCCCCTTGTGTGGCCTGGAGACACACTCCCCTGTGCCCACCAGCCCCGCTCGCCAGGCGCGCCCTCTCTCCCGGCCGCAGCCCTGTGGCTCAGACGCTGGGGGGACTGAGGAGAGGATCACCCGACCACAAGCTCGAGCGACTCAAGGAGAGAATTCGGGAGCAGAAGCAGCGACACCAAGGTCTGATTCGGGGAGCGAAGACGCCCGGTGCGAGCTGCCCCGTAGAACTGCTGCCTCAGCGGCCCCTAGCGAGGAAGGTTCGCAAAGTGGCGTCTGCGCCTCCAGCCCCCGTTTACAGAGGTCAGTGCTAATTGTGTTCCTACAGCGCTGCCACGGGAAGGGCAGCCCGCTGCAAGGTGCTAGCAACAGAAGCTTTCCCCTTGCCCGGGGGACCCAGCTCCTCTCTCTAGCCCTGGGGCTGGGGTGGGGCCCGTGATACCAGGCATCAGAGCAGGGATTGCTACAGCAAGGTCAGTTTTCTGGAGGGTGGTCATGAGTGGCGGGTGAAGGCCCAGCTGGGAAAGGCAGTCTCCAGCCCCGCCCCTTCCGCCTGA